ACACGTCCGGCACGCCCCATATACGCGCACGGCAGGATGTAGTCTCTTCCCATGGGAGGATATAGCCATAATCTCTATACTGGCGAGCTACCGACTCAATGTAAGCACATAACATAAAGTACACACTCGCTTCTTTATTTATTGAGGTCTTCAATATTCTATCTATTTGAAAATTAAAATAATACAACGTTTATATCTTTCCAATTTTGTTTAAATATAAAAAAAATGATTAGAAGACTGTCATCATCATTGATATTTATATGTTGTATTTAACATATGTATATATATTCTTATTTATGTAGGTTTAAATTTATATATTTATTTAAATTTCTGTCTTGCACTACTGCTGCCCACTCACTACTTCCTATGCTACTGCGTTAGGTTGACTGGAAGAGATCTCTTTTAGAGATAAGTTCGCGTTTGCTAACATTGTTATTAACTTATTGTTGTTACTGTATGTTTTACATTAGCTATATCAATAAATATGAATGTTTGTTTGTTATCTCGTTGCTATGATTTGGTACACACAAATTATTTAGAATAGAACAAAGGCCTTTTAGCTATAACAGAAAATCAGTATTTTGCACTTTCACTATAATATTTAAAATTATATTAATAAATACTCAATAAATATATGAGAAATATTTGACCGGTAACGGTATACGCTGGCGGGGCACCAGTGGGGGATGACATATGGATAATGAAAAAGCAGTTAGCCCATCATGAGGAATACACCTGAAATTCAGCACGATGGTTTAACGGGAGTACCGCGTGGAGGTCGGCCTGACAGAGTATATTGCTAGCAACGGGATTTGTAGCCAACATTACTATCAATCTCTTCCCCCCTCGTCATCATATCAGTCTTTAACTGCCACTGCTGAACATAAGCCTCCCCTTGGGGGGTTTTGCCAGTAGTCGCCACGATTGGCAGGCGGATTGGCAACTGCAGTTAGGCTTTGGAGATGTTTTAAAAAGGACGCTGCTGCCCATCCCTCTCTCTCCCTTAGTTGCCTTTTAAGTCACCCCTGGGAAAGGAAAGAGTGGCCTATTCTATGCTGGGACCACACGGTATAACAAAGTAAAGTAAGGTCGATTGCTTGGGTACCTCTATCCCATTCGTGTTTCAAACGTGAAGCAGTTGTGTTTGCATGGCTGTGTTTTGGTTTGAAGGGTGGAATATGGCGTGAATTTACATAGTACAGAGGAATAACACCTGAGTCCTCAGGAATGGCAACGCATAGGGGGTATCATGGGCGGAAACAGTATACTCTGTTATGTCCATGGTACTGCTCGTGTCTATAGTCGACGGTTACCACTTTCCATCAGGTGGGCCGTCAGCTTGTTTGCTATTCTAAGTCGTATAAAAAATAAAATAAAAAAAGGTCACCTATAGTTACATAGGTACATTTAAATATAATGTATACGTAACTTTTAAAAATAAAAAAAACTAAACATGGAGTAATTTTATTTAATTAAATCTAATAAAACAGCAATTCTGGAACCTTGAACATAGCTATACGTAGTCGTATGGTTACGTATATTAATTCGCATGCCAATCCAATATAAGTTTATTTGGTTATACACAATACATTGTTGAGGTGCTTCGTAATTTGTGCGGTTGATTCGTATTTCATATTCGCTAGTTCGCTGCTTCTACTTTCTTCTTGATTTTATGATTTTATTTTAAGTTAGAATGAATTTCTCAAATCGTCGGTATTTTACTACGAAATATTAATACGAAATAAAAATAACGTTTGATAGATAAATATGCATGTAATTTGTTTGCAGCACACAAGGAACAACAGATATATATATATATATATATATATATATATATATATATATATATATATATATATAAGATGTAAAAGCATATATTTATGTCGCAGGCGGGGCTGATGTTGATGACGTAACTATATGTTCAACTTCGTTCTAATAAAAATTTGGATATATTTTACATTTCATGACCCCACCAAGTTCCGCCGCCATCACTTCATGATTGATAAAATTCTCAGTGGCGCGTCGATTTTTAATCAAAAAGTAATATTAAAATATCTGATGGGTAAAAATAATCACTTTATGTGAATCATATTATTATGATTAACTTCGTGTTCCCACCCACCTGGGTTTAATAGGCATCGCGCGGCGAGCTCGCAACATCGAGCACTAGTACGGCTTGCTTCCCATTCATCTCGACGTCTCATCTCTAGTGATTAAGTTTTTTATGTGTACGGTCGGGCAAAAAAAAATTAGCTTTAGCGAGTAGGCGCGTTTCAATGGTTTCAACTTGGTTATTTAAACACTCTTTTCTCTTGATGTTTTATCTCGAATATTATGTTTATGGTATGACAAATATGCATATATATATATATATATATATATATATATATATATATATATATATATATATATATATATATAAATAAGTTATTATTAGTAGTATTTTAGGTTATGACTGCCATTTTACAATAACTCATCCATTCCATACACTCACAAATTACACAGTCAAGATTTACTTACAAAATATTATTTGGACAAATTAAATTATTAATGTATTAATACCTTAACTTTTATTGTTTCTTTTTTATATAATTTTGTGTCATTATGCCGTATAGGGCAGAGCACTGCTTATCCTAAAGTACAGGATTTACCTATTTAGGGAGCAGAGTTTTACCTATATTTAAAATGTAACATTTATTTTGAAATAATTTATTATTATTATTATATTATTATTATAAATAAAGGAACAAAAAAAAATTGCTACGATATAAGTAAGAAAATTCTAGTAATTTCATCCGTTTAGCTTTTTTAACTACCCTACTGACTCCAGTTTGTACACAATAATTTACTAAACACTAGTAAAGTTTGTTCCACGTTCATCAGTTAGTACTACCAGTCCTATTGCTAGCAATATATCCTGTCAGGTCGACCTCCACGTGGCCATTCCTGGAAATCATCGTTCTAAATGCTAGGCCTTGGACGCTTACACAATTTTTTTTTATTTAGACAGAGGGCGCTCGGGGCAGATTAAATTAATAAAAAAACGAGCTCCTCATTTATTTTAATTTTTGTTATAAATGTAGCGAGGCATATGAAATTTCAAAAAAAGATTGTATTATATTGATTAAAATTATTGTAAAAAATATGTAATTAAGATTTTAAATAAATAAAATACTGTACATTTTTTCTAAAATACTTTTTTAATATTGTACTCAGACCTAAATATACTTTATATGTTGTAAAAAAAAGTTGGAAACCCCACCTTAAACCTCATGCAGTTTAGAACAATGACCAAACTCTTATATTCTTTGCAGATTACAAATAACGCTATCGAATCGAATGAAACACAATGCGTATCGTTCGCAAATTGATTGGATTTGCAATTATGGATAGTGCAATTAAAATTTTAATTGCAGTTGCAAATCGTAATATTAATACTAACCACACTGTTTATGCATTAGACACGCGTCGGTGCAACTTGATTATAATCGATATTGTTATTCGGAATCGCGCTTCGGAAGAAAATTAATCGAGTAACCGATTTGAAACTTTTATACGTCCTCGGTTTATAAAGGCCTTTGTTCTTTCCCATTATATAAATACCAACTGTTATATGTAGAAATCATTGCTTAATAGTTCGATAGTTAAATAATATTTTGCTTCTATTTTGGAAATCCAGAGGGAGATCTTTTACAAAAGTCGATTGCTTGGGTAGCTCTGTCCCATTCGTGTTTCAACCGTGAAGCAGTTGTGTTTCCATGGCTGTGTTTCGGTTTGAAGGGTGTGATATGGCGGGAATTTACTGGGTACAGAGGAACAACACCTGAGTCCTCAGGAATGGCAACGCATAGGGGGTATCATGGGCGAAACAGTATAGTCTGTTATGTCCATGGTACTGCTCATGTCTATAGGCGACGGTTACCACTTTCCATCAGGTGGGCTGTCAGCTTGTTTGCCATTCTAAGTTGTATAAAAAAAAAAGGTAATTTACAGAGGCCTTATCTTACACTACCCACCTAATACTACAACTACTATGTAAGTGGGGGGAGAAGAGATTATTAATAATGGGGATCAGTTACCCCATTGCTAGCAATACACTCTGTCATATTGACCTACACGTGGCGCCCCCTGGAAACTATCGTGCTAAATTCCAGGCTAACTGCCTTTTTTTTTCTCACCTATCATCCTTCACAGATGCCCTGCTAGCGTATACCGTTAGCGCAGGCGGGGTGACCATTTCATTATCATCAATTAAAAAAAAAACTATATAAGTACAGTTAGTAGCATCCGTTATTGAAGTAACTGAGTACTCACTGAGGTGTAATGCCTTGAATAGCAAAAGATACATAGACATTTTTCAGAAACATCTGATCACTTAAAAATATTTCCGGCATATTAATTTGACAGGATTCAAGCCCACATCCCTTACTATCTGGACTGGACTGATCCCAAGTCTAACTAATCGACCTGCCTTTTCATTCTCACCTATCATCCCTCACTGGTGCCCCGCCAGTGTATACTGCTAGCGTAGGCGGGGTAATCATTTAATTTTCACCTATTAAAAAAAACATATCGACTGTCACTCTGTAATCGGGGTACGTCACATAGGAACTGATTTTTTCATATTTGACTTTTTATTGCCTGAACATAATAAATTTAATTGTATACAAAAATGTGTAAAAAGTGAATATGGAAAATAAAAAAATAACCCGTCCCAAAGTGGGGAAGGCATCATGGTTGGAATTTAGATCTGGTGATCAGGAGACCGGTGCCTTTCCCGCCTTGAAGCGGGTTATGTTATTTTATTGATTTATATATTTACATTTTATTGTACCATTTATATAAATATTTCAATTAATAAAATAAAATCACACACACACACACACACACACACAAACACACGCATACACACGTGTGTGTATATATATATATATATATATATATATATATATATATATATATATATATATATATATATATATATATATATATATACAGAATGTAGAAAGAATACAGGAAAATTGTACTAAAGGTAGAGATAGTAGGAGTTAACAGAAGTTTTGAAAGTTTTGAAACTAGTAAGAATTTGAATGCACCGAGTGGAAGCATATTGTAATGGTTTGTTATTCAATTTATTATTTATATTACATATTTTGTATATTGCTATATATATGAATGATAACTGTTAAAACAGTCGACACAGAGCCCCGGTTCTTGTGGACAAGCTGGACAGTGCCACATCGTCTCCGTGAGTTTTTTGTATTTACTACATTGACAGCAATATTTCCTCCTTAGTGGACCATTCTCCAGTCGTTCAGTAATCAAGCCGATTCTATGAAACACGTTTGTATTATTTCTGTTTTGCACTGCTATATTGTGCGCAGTTTCGAACAATAATAAATTTATAATTGACAAGCGATATTCGTGTAATGACATTCTTGGCTGTCCTGAAAATTTGTTATATATTTTGTATGTATTTAACAATAATAAATGAAAAGTGTGAATAGCTATCTTAGCATACCAATGCAGTTTCATTCGCTTGCATGGGTAGTATGAGAAGATAAGTTCTTGATGATCTATACTAGTCATAAACTCATTATATTTGGCAATCGCTTCGGGCTTCTCCTTAATCTGATTGCGCGTATTCGTAACAGATACCATTCGGTTAGGATATTCTGAACTGATGTACAACTCACTGTATTTATCTTTCCACTTCCCTACATGGACACCTTCGCGAAAATATGAAACATTTTCTCCTTTCTGTATTTTGGCTCTGGCGATGGTCGGATTTTGTTTTAGGTTCTTGGAAAGCATACCCGTGCAATAGGTATATTTCTTTAAAAGTTTCCGTGTTAATTGGTAACTGTTATAAAATTTATCCATGTACAATGAATGCCCAGAGTACAAGTAATTTTTTAAAAGGTTAAAAACTACTTCTGTAGCATGACCTTCACCATCTACTTTGTCGTTTTTGCTGCCGGTATGCAAATAGAATCGCAAAACAATACCGTTAGATTCCGCAAGCATGTATAATCTAATTCCATGTTTGTAGCGCTTGTTCTTGACATATCGCCGGCAGATCATACGATCTCCACACAAGACCATGCTTTCATCTAATATTAACTCTTTACCAGGATAGTAACAGTCCTCCATCTTCTTGTTGAAATAATCGAGCACGTGACGACCTTTATTATTTACAGCATCGCCCTCCGTGTCTGAAGTAAAATGCAAACATCGCATGATGCCGAGGAATCTGTTAGGTAACATTTTTTTAGTGAAAATGGGTATAGAGAAAAGGTGGTGCATGTTCCAATAATCCTGTATGCGATTAAGAGGTATAGACCCCATGTGAAACAGTAGTCCTAAAAAGATTTTCAATTCACCGACAGTCAACGTCCTCCAATTTATAATCATCGAAGCAAATTTCGGACGGTTGTTCAAGAAAAGTCTTTCTGCTTGAGCGTTTGTCTCAACGCAAATCATTTGGAGAAATTCAGTTTCAAAAAAGAAATTAAAATAATCAATAGGACTCGTGCCAGCTCGTTGCCCAAGAAAAAAGTTGTTTTTAGTAAATATTAGATTATGAACATTTCCGATGGTACACCATGGCGATGCTGAAGGCTGATTAGAAGTTGATTGCGTAGCTCTGTGCCGAGAGAAATCCAGAGAAGAAAAATTTAGAGACGGTACTGGCCAAATATTTTCATCCTCCGATAATGATGAGGACTCTACCTCATCAGAGAAGTCAGAGTATTCCTCAAAATCATCTTCGAAATATAGTTTTTCATTGTCACTATCAACAACACATGTTTGCTGCTGTCGAGGCCTCGAAGGTCCTGGTTCACTGTCCATTTTAATGTCTGTTTATAATAAAAAAAAGACTGTACACAGAAACACTATTTCAACGCTGATGCCGGTCAAGCACTAATTCGTAGGTCCCACCCCGAGCCAAGACGAGTCCAGTCTTCCGTCGCGATACCTGCACTCCACTCTGATGTTGTTATTCAATAGATACCATTCAATGATGGTAAAGTACAGCCTATTCCACGTAGGACATGACAACTTGTGACACGTATTTTTAATTCGATAATAAAAAATACAGTCACCTCCATTTTTTTTTATAATTGTTTGCAATGTGCGTTCTCGCGTCAGTAATTGTTCACATCTACCCACTTCACGTGGAACAATCATGGGACGCGGCAACGGCAACCAGACACAAAAACATAATCGCCACATTTTGTTTCGCTTGATTATTCTAATTGTTCGGTTAACGTAGGGTTGCCTGTCGTCTGTCATCCTGTTTTCCTAGGACTTGGAGTCTTTTTGAACTGTTCTGGGGTGGCTTGGATGGTTTTTAAGCAGCGTTCTGAATTTTTAAAAAGCGCCCTGATAAGTTTACGTAATTTAAAATTCACGTATACTTTATAATTTACCGAATATTTTTATTAAAAATTTATTATTATTATTACTTGAATTTAATTTAACCTATGTTTAGTACATATTATTTAATTATTGATACTTAGTTATTGCATTCTCTTTTTGTAATTTGAGTTTGGCAACCCTAGGATATCATACGTCGTACGTTTAGAACAAAGAGGTATCTTTTTATCCAACTACCAAGGAATTGAGTGCAACATTTTGACCTACTTAACGTACGAAAAACAGTTATTATATTTTACTTTTTATTTTTTACCCGACTGTCGAAGTGAGGAGTACAATGTTTTTCAGGTATCGGTACTATGTAATAGACAAATATATCTGGATCTTTGTAACTGTCAATTGACAGCTGAGCGTATCTGAACAACTGTAGACTATTTTACAGACTGAATTACTAGTCATGAGATAAAAATATCAAAGTATGTAATTAGAAATGGATTACCTATAAATAGTTTATTTATTTTATTTATTTATTTCTTATTTCATTCCATAATGTGATTAGTAGATAACATTTCAACTTCAATTATGGACCCTGTTGGGCACAGCAGTAGTAGTAGGAGAGAGGAGGACAACACTTTTTTTTTTGGGGGAAAAAGGGACTGTTAGTAATGGAGACTAAGAATCCCATTGCTAGCAATATAGCCAACCAGGTCGACCTCCTCGCGGTACCCCCTGGAAACTATCATGGTTAATTCCTGATGAATTCATCATGATGAGCTAACTGGCCTGTTTTCATTCTCATCTATCACCCTTCACTGGTGCTCCGCCAGCGTATCCCGTTAGCGCAGGCGGGGTTACCATACCATTTTCACCCATAAAAAAAAACATTTTTTTTTCACTTTAGAAACAGTTCAAGATTTTGTTACAAAATTATCCAGTTATGTAAATTGTATAACGATAGGTACGTATTTTCTGTATTATTATTATTCATTATTTAAGTATTGATGTGTATCTATTTATACTGTAATTGTTATTAGTATTATATAGTTATTTAATATATTCTCTAGTTTATAATTATTTATATTCATATTGTAGAATTAATTAATTAATAGTTTAATAATAAAATTTCAGCAATGTCAGTTTTATCTGTGTCTTAAATCATTAACAATTTATAATTAATTATTTATTTGTAAACAACAAGATAAATTCTGTTTGTCATTCAAATACTCGGCAATAGTATACTATAGTAATATTTAGTAATTAATAACATTTTAAGATTACTTAACCCTTAAATACCTGAAGTTTCAAATTTGATACCGGGGTCATAAATCGCATTGGGCGCCTACAATCGATTTTATTTTAATATTTGGCTGTTTACATGTTACCAAATGTTTTTTTCAAAATAAATATATAAAAGTATCGTTTTGACTTTTTTACTATTTTTCCCCATTAGTAAACACAATAAAGGGTATATTTATATATTTTTTTAATTTAATTTAAAAAATCAGGCTTTTAAGGGTTAACAAAAATATTGTCATTTTGTTCACTTTTTAATGATTCTGACAATTTATTAAGTGATCACCTTACTTAATGTAATATAATTATTGATTGTATTCCATAAAATAACCGACTTCATTTGTGATAAAACCAGTCATTTCGATTTAAAAACTACACAGCTGAACCGATTTTGATGAAATTTCTACGGAACCAATCCTTTTAGATAAACAAAGAATTTTCCAAATCGGTTTACAACTAACGGAGTTATGAGGTAACAAACATAAAAAAATACAACCGAAATAAAAAATCTCCTTCTTTTTGAAGTTGGATAAAAAATTGTAACTGTTGGCTGGCTGTCATATATATATATATATATATATATATATATATATATATATATATATATATATATATATATATATATATATATATATATATATATATATATATATATATATATGAGGGGTTAAAAGAATAATATATAATAGATTTTTTTTTCTAAAATTATTGGCTCGGTGTGTGTCTGTATATTTGTTGCAGCATCATATAATAACTACTACACCAAATTGAATGCTATATTCACAGCTGTATTTCTGAAAGTGTAACAAAATCTGGATTGTTTCATCTTGATACGACATTTAGAACTAGTCTGTTTTATTGGTTTTCTTCTGATATCCACGCGGGCGAAGTAGCGGGGAAAAAACTAGTGTTGAGTACAAACGGTCGTTATTGACGTATACATTTCTACCTAACACCAGCAACTTGGATGTTGGAGTCAAAACATTTTTATTTAGTTTTTAAGCTAGCTAAAAGGATTATGGGCTTGAACTCCGCTACACTGACAGATAGCAAACGGAGACGTGTCACCAGGAGACGTGGTACAAGCTTTTAATCCCAACATGTTATTAGGGTTCCGCGTCGAATGGCCAAAACCGATCTCTTATAATTTAAATATTTGTAATCTATTAAGTTACAACGTCATTGTTAATTCTTTTTATATTCAACTTAGAATGGCGAACAAGCTAACGGTCCACCTGATGGAAAGTGGTACCCGTCGTCTATAGACATGAGTAGTATCATGATAGGTCAGGATGAAGCAGATCAGTTAGCCAATCGTGACGAATTCAAAAAGAAATGTTCACGATGGTTACCAGGGGGAACCACGTGGAGGTCGACCTAATAGGGCATATTGCTAGTAATGGGGCCGTCAAACTCCATTACTAACAATTCCTTTCCCCCCTATTGTGTATGTTCCTTCATTCGTGCAAACTTTATTGGGTGATGTATTATTTATTTGTGTAATTATCAGATGTATTTTATAAGCTGTATGTTTGCTTTAAATAAATAAAACAAATAAAATGCTGATAGTCATTAAGTCAAACAAATGAATCGGATATAATTAATTACCGTAAAACAATTATTTCATTTTCCAAATTCCTAATTAAATGCCTAATTTGACAACACGCAAAGCAATATACTTTATTAAAACTTTTTTTTATGCAATTTAGATGGGCAAACAAGCTGATGGCACACCTGATGGAAAGTGATAACCGTCGCCTATAGACATGAACTACTGTTTATGTCTATAGGCGACGGCATGGATATAACAGAGTACACTGTTTCGCCCATGATACCCTAATGCGTTGCCATTCCTGAAGACTCAGGTGTTATTCCTCTGTACCCTGTAAATTTACTGCCATATCCCACCCTTCAAACCGAAACACAGCCATGCAAACACAACTGCTTCACGGTAGAAACACGAATGGGACAGAGGTACCCAAGCAAATGACAGTCTCCATGAACATATGAAAACTAAGCGTCTTATATACAGTGTTAATCGGAAAGAATTTTTCATTATCTTCGACAATTTTAAAAAGGTCTGAATGGTTTTTTAATGTCAATTAATTTAATTTAGTTTCTTAATATTTTTTATAATACCAACTAGTTTTACTTGTTTTTATTTTGTCCGCATGACCGGGACTTGTTCAGTTACCGGGTAAAAAGTAGCTTATCTCCTTTTCTGTCACATATAGTAGGTATATGTATTAAATGGGAGACAGGCGTGACAGATATGTATGTATGTACTAAATTTCATAGTAGTCGGTTAAACGTTTCCTCTCTAACAGTCGTGTTGTGGGGGAAGGGATTGTTAGTAATGGGATTCTAATAGTCCCATCACTAGCAATATACCTTAACAGGTTAACCTTCATGTGGTTCCTGGAAGCCATCGTAAAATTCGATAGGTTAACTAACCTGTTTTAATCCTCACCTATCACCCCTCACACGGCAAGTGTTTACCGACGGCACAATATTTTTTTTATGGGTGAAAATGGTATGGTAACCCCGTCTGCGCTAACGGTATACGCTTGCGGAGCACCAGTGAAGGGTGATAGATGAGAACGAAAACAGGCCAGTTAGCCACTTGTTTTATTTTTACTAGTATATAATTGTACTACCTTTCATATGATTTGTACCAACCTATTAACTTCTTTCTTACTTCACTACTGGATGCCGAACGTAACTCTAATGTTTTCCTGGAGTTGCTGGCGAACGTCCGCGTTCCTGTGCCAGCAGCTGCCGTCAGCCTCCAGCCTCTACAAAAACCAATTCATCTACAAGTTCCGAGAGTGGATTCCATTCGCGTCGATACACTGTCGCGACGACAAAAAATGCCCCATTAGACAGCGCCCTCTGCAGTGTTGCCAGATTGGATATTTTTTCTGTTATTTTAGGGGAAAAGGTTGTATGTTAGAGAAATTTTGGTAAGAAAATTAAAGTGTGGAGAGGTATTATTTATAATTTTTGTTACCTTTTTTTTATAGGTTTGTTTAGTATTTAAAGTGCTAAGAATGTTAAAATGTCAACGGTTGAGAAAATCCTTTCTTGTCACTTGAGTAGTGGTTTTCAGTAAGACATATAAAAATAGAAAAAGTCTGTGACTGGCTGAAAATGAAGGAAATAGTATAAATTTGTAAAAGTAAATATTATAAATTTGGCGGGGAAATAAAAACTTACACCTGGCAATACTGACAGTTGCACTAGTGATTCGCCCCCGATACCTTTACTCGGAATTATCTTAATGAGTCTTTGATTAGAAACCTTATGAAGGTAGGCAAGGCAAGGTTATAAAAATACGTATCTAGTGAGCTGTCCGTTCTATTTTCCTTGAAGAGACGCATTTACAATATATTTTATATACAATA